GTGTTATTTTTGTAACAAAACGCGAATCAAATAATGTTTGGATTGTGCCAAAGAGTGGTTTGTGTTTAAAATTTCAAACATGACAGTACTTACGAGAGGGAAGAAAAATAATCAATTAATAGTAAAACGTACTAATTTTACAACAATTCATCCAAGCAAGAATCAAAACACGATAAGAAGTTTAACATTGCTACTTTTTATTCAGAATTCCCATAAATTGTCTTTATCGTAATTCAATAAATGCCCATTGAGCTAGAAAATGAGTCCATCTTAATGCGGTTCGCATAGACCAAGTTTTGTATGACGAGCCATTGTTGAAAAAAATCCACTTCAATTTTGTCTTCGTATAAACTGGACGTAGACCAAGTTTTGTATGACGAGCCATTGTTGAAAAAAAATCCACTTCAATTTTGTCTTCGTATAAACTGGACTTAACAATTGGCGGAGGGAAATGAAATGCGCCGATAAAGTTCCTGGCTTGCGAATTCAAAGTGACACGAGGCTCCTTCATGTTCCAACGTATGTAAGAGCGACGATAATTACTCGTACGACAATCAGTCTACGAGTACATCAACGAGATGATTTGTGTAATGGTTTGTTTTTCATAGTCACAGGGGTGTTTGGAATTTTGAATCTCACGTCCCAACGAAGGCGTCCTCAAAATAAATAAACTGACATAGAATGTACGTCACCAAAGACGAAATCAGACGCTGATCAACATTTGTGTTTCTGTGATGACTCCAATGGCATTTAAATTGCGACCTCGACACATGGAGCAATCTATTCAAATCATGATCCAGGACTGCCACAAGCCGTGACGCCGACTGAGAACACCGAACCAAGAAACGCCTCTGGAAGCGATATGACGCGACGTTGGGAAACCGACGAGCAGCGTCGAGACGCCAACTGTCCCGACGCCGAAATCAGACACCGTATTAGCGTAGAGCGATCAAACACGACGTCAGAAAGCCGGAGCCGAGTGTGTGACGGCTCAGAATTCGAATTCTTGCCAAGAAATTATTCGGCATGGCATAAGGCACGATACTCGCAAACCTACGGAAAGCGTCGAGACGCCAAAATAGCACAGATGAACCTCAGGATTTTAATTAAAACGACGCTACAAAACCGACGACGAGCATCGTGTCGCCGAAATAAGACGGCGTATTTGGACATCCAACACACGGGAGACGGACGCCAAGCGTCGCGTCACCTTTCGTCGCGAAAAGAAAGAAACGATAACCAACTGGTCTGACGACAAAGACAGTTGAAGGTTACTTAAATAATGCGTAGGGACTGCAAAAAAAAGGAAATGGCAGAACAAGGAAAAGTTGGACTCTGGCAAGAGAACGCACTGGAAACTTATGCCACTTTTAGGTAAAGGAAATTCGAATAAAATCGACGAATGAACAAATACGAATCAATTACAAGAAGCCAGGCCTCAAGGCAAGGACGCCAACACTTTGCTCGGAATCTTCATTAACAAGGCGATTAATGGACGGAATAGGGGATAAATGGGGTAAATGAGATCAGTTCTTTATGCAGATGACCAAGGAGTTACAGGCAAGTCAGAGCATGAATTGCAGATCGCGAGGCGTCGGTTGAATAATATTGCCGGGAAATATAATTTGCGAACAAAATCCATGGCGAGGTAATGAAATCCGAAAGGCTAAAATATTTATAGAAGGAAAGATTACGGAAAAAGTCACAGAACTTAAGTATTTACGGAATAAGGTATCGGAATACAGGAAAGGATGGAAGATGACAGAATAGCAAAATTAGCACTTAAAGACCAGGTAGAGGGAAGACGAAACACAGCTCGACCAAAGAAAAGGCGGAGAGATCACTTCTTTGAACACAGCTGAAGAATTAAAGGCTCAGTAAGCCTAATTAATAACCAGTTCAAGATTAAGAAGAAGATATTCATTCAGCCTACTCATTAGGGACAGGAGGATAACAGGAGAGACAGGATCAAAGACGATCTGGGCAAGACGGGGAATTGAGAATCGGGGAGCAGGGAACAGTCAGTAATAATTAATGTACAGGGCAATCGAGAATAAGACAGAACGCAGTTCCAAGATATCCTGGACGAGTGCACGTTAATACGAGGTGCGATCGGAAAGTTTCCAGACTGTGTCAATAGAGGGCGAACCGGATGTACTACGAGCTTCTGCCGCTAGGGGGTGCACCCTCCTTATTCGCCGGATTTAGCTCCGTGTGACTTCTTCCTCTTCCCAAAGATGAAAATTCAGCTAAAGGGAAGGAGATTTGAGACGATAGAAGAGATTCAGGCAGAATCGCAGATGGTGCTTGACAGGCTGACAAAGAAAGATTTCCAGGGATGCTTCCAGGCTTGGCAGCGGCGCTGGGATCGTTGTGTTCACTCCCAGGGGAACTACTTCGAGGATGATGGATGAATTTAATACCTGAGATAAGTGTACGGGTTTTTATAGGCGCAGTCTTGAAACTTTCCGATCGCACCTCGTATAAGGAGAACGAGCGGAAGAGAATGGACGGCTAGCCGTGTACTGCGTGTTGCAGTAGGGGTGATAGAAGGAGACTGAGATCACGGAAATTAGGATGGGGGTAGATTCGGAAGGGAAAACTATTGGATGTAAAAGACGTTTCGAAAGAATTCAGAGTAATCAAAGTAAAATACTGGGGGAAAAAAAATATTTTCAAATGTAGCCACTGTTTACGATAGTGGAAAATACCAGTTCAAAGTGAATGCTGACTGACTGGAGAGGTCGCATGTCAAACGTGCAAGGGTTGGAGGGACACACACGCATTAATTAATGACTCAACATGGGTGTGGTCCTCGTAGGAATAACACTGTACTTTGCGGTATTAATTAACAATACGAGTGTCTTCCAGGCAGGAGGACCATGGACCATGCAGGAAGGGAAATTCGAATTCATTTGTAAGACTTGAGGTTCTCACAGCGGTGAGTATGAAGATATCCGTCTTCTGGGTTGTTGCGCTGTGTAGTCTGGTCGATGTTTACCAACGTT